AAAAAAAGAAAATGGAGAAAAAATTTATAACTAAAGAAGAATCCGGCCTGTTGGTAAAATATTTAAACGAGCGAAAACTACGAGCCTACAACCCCGGTGTCGTTTGAAAGTTCGTGTTTGTGTCTTTACTTTCATAAAAAAGAAAAAAAAAAAAATTTAGAAGTGCGTGAGAAACAAATGAAATAACATTCGAAAAGTTTTCCATTTTGCGCTGATTAGAAACAATAAAAAAAAACAAACAGGGAAAATGTTCTTTCTTCAATTCGATAAAAGACAAAACGAGAGGATTGAAAAAATAAAGAGAAAGGGAAACGACAGAAAGTGTATTGACGAGAAGAAGATTAAATAATACGTTCGAACGAAATAGAACAGATCATCTTTACGGTTTTATAAATATAAATTATATTTATATTTGGAGAATTGCATAAAACAAAACAAAACGAAACAAAAATTAATTATACTAGGCTAACGCGCGTAGGATACTTCTTTCTTCTAAGAGAAATAGAAAAAGAAGAAGAAGAAGAAAAAAACAAATAGTAATTACAAATAATAGCATAGGTCCTAATCTTTCGTTAAAAAAATCTAATAAGTGTCTCTTTCTTCTCGACACCGTTTCCCTTCCTAATTTCGTTTCAATCTTTTTCGTCGACTTACAAATTGGAATACAATACGGTATAAAGTTAGAGAGAGAGAAAGAGAAAAAAAAGGGGGGGAGGGGAAAAAAGAAACTAATAATAATAAAAAGAAAAAGAAATAGAAAGTCGGTGGTCGTGAAAGAGAGAATCGTTTGACGCATCGCGGGGGCGCCAAGTGGAAGGCAAACAGCGATAAAAACTGCATGAATAAAGCACTAATGGACGTTCTATGGACGGTGAATAAACGCGGCTTGAGAAAGGAGACAAGAAGAGAACAAGATATAGAACGTGTGCGGTAGAGATAAAAAGAGATAGAGAACGAGGGGTCCAATTCTTTTTTTTTTCTTAGACGTTTTCAAAATAAAATAAAGAAGAAAGAAAAAAAGAACACCCGAAAGAAACGGAATCTCCTCTTTTCACAGTGCACAGGTGAATTTCTCGATTCGATTAGATCCAAACGACCCCCTTCTTTTTCTTCTTCTTCTTGACTTTCTACGGAATTCGCTAAGCTGACGAATTTTAAATAAATAAACCGATTTATTTCGTAGGAACGTAGGAATGATCAAACGTTCGGAGAAAAATATTCAACGTGTAATATTAATGTTGATATCATAGTCAATTGATTTTGGTAAAGAAATTTGATTCGATAATATATATCAAATATATTTGAAATATTTAAGTAATTTTCTTGTTTTCTTAATTATTTAGGATTAACCAATATCGTATCCATTAAAGACAATAACAAAATATTTCAATAATAATAAAACTTTTATATATATATATATATTTTCTACTTTTTTTTTTTATATTATAACAAAAGAAATGAATAGAGGGCAAAGGGAAAGTAAAGAATTTCCTTGAAAATGATCGATACGCGTGTGTATCATGATCACTACCGTAAAATATGTAATCTATAAATGCGTGTGTTTCTTATTTTTCGTTTAAATTCGATGTTTACGAAAATTGTTTTTATAAATCAAATAATACGAGCGAATTTTCGAAAGGTAACGCGATAGGTTAAATTGAATCGGAATATTATAATGTAAGAAAGTGCAATGAATTTTATTACTATCGTAATTCTTTACTCCTTCCTAGCCCCAACCCCTCCCCCAAATGCGATATATATCATACATAGAGGAAGAAAAATATAGATAGAAGGAAGGAAAGAAAGAAAGAGAGAGAGAGAGAAAAAGAAGGGGAGAGAGAAAGAAGGTTATCGAGTAAGAAACTTAATAGAAAACAGAGGTGAGTGTAGAACACACGGCAAGACGATAAAAATATCTCTCTTGGAGAGGTTCAAACCGTTTTCACTATTCCAAAAGGAACATTCCTACAAATATACGAATAAATATTTCTCCTCGTCTATGCACGCGCTCGCTCGCATTCATGACATTCATTGAAAATTTTTATTCATATTATTATTATTATTATTATTATTATTATTAGCTATGAAAGTAACATGTACTAAGCATTTGTAGATACAATTCGTTATTGAGTAAGTAATAATGAGAAAAAGAAAAAGTGAGAAAGAAAATTGATCGTTAAAATGAACAGACAACATAATTGTCTCGCGATCTCTCGTTTGCAATTTCTTTAAAAATTCTTTAAAAAACGATCGTAGAGTTTAATTAAGAAACACACATAAATATAATAAGTAATAAGTATATAAATAAATATAACGAAATGCATATATATGTGTGCCCATAATTATGAAAGTAGTCTAAGTCAAAATAAAAAAAATGAGTTTATTAGTTATTTCACAGAGCACACATTATTTTAAACTAAATTAATTCAATGTAATTTTCACACGATATTGTCAAAAAATGAATTGTTAAATAGTATTATGTTATTTCAATATTATATAAAATTCATTTAATGTTCATAATTATAGGAACATATAAGTAAATGTGAATATAATTTGTCAAATGACTCTATTAATAATTAATTAACAATATACTTGCGAATTATTATTATTTCGTTAATAAATCTAACCGAGTAGGAGGGTAAAAGGGGAGGGAAATAAAAAACGAAAAGAAGAAGAAGAAGAAAGCGTCTAGGTCAAGCTTTCGAGTTATAATAATCAATTTCCAATTGGTCACGTTAGAGAGGACGGACACTCTCGTCCGCAGTTGGTGGTGGGTATTATTTACTGGAAGGATCGAAACTCTTCTTTTTCGCGTGAATCACCTGCCGACGTTTAACGATGAGTAGGAAAGAAGAAGAACCCCCCAGCTAGTTTGTCATATGGCAAGTAACACGCGTTACTGCGATTACGCGCTTGATAGAGTACCGTTATAACTACGACATAGGTGAGCATCGTAATATACTCCTCTCTCTCTCTCTCTCTCTCTCTCTCTCTCTCTCTCTATTTCGCTTTCTTATGATACCTTTTGCAAGTAGATATTCACTAGAAGGAGAAATTACTTTACGTATGTATGTATGTATGTATTTATATATGCATGTATATATGTATGTACATACTACATACTTTAAGAGGATTTCTGTAAAGCATGCTACTCGACTTGCAAGTTATCAATTGCATAGGTATATATATATATATATATGTGTGTGTATGTATGCAGAGAATCGCGAAGAATGCGTATTCTCATTTTCTATGAGCGAGAGGGAACATTGTGTGTAGCAGGTTGAAAGGAACGAGAAAATAGAGAGAGAGAGAGAGAGAGAGAAACTCTTGTATTCCAAGTACGGTGAAAGAATGTCGACGATGTCTTGTCGAAGAAAACGAAGGAAGATCTATGAGGTACGGTGAACTCGTTTTCTTCGATATATATCAAAGTAAGGAAATATAATTCATAGCAATCTGTTCTATTTCACGTATGATAAATAAATAAACTCTACAACTTGGCCGAGAAACTCTGGGTTTATCAAGAATAATAATACATATGGCTTATTCTCGGATTAAAAATGAAATTAAAAGTTGGGGGGGGGGCGAGGGGGAGAGAAGAAAAAGTAAAATAAAATAAAATCAAATGAAAGAGACAAGAAATGTGTTGATGAAAAGTTATTATATATTATATGTGATTCTTGTTGAAGCAAACCGATCGATAAAATTGATAGATCTATTTCAAGATTTTAACGTATACGTATTAGAAATGTTATACATTCTTCTGGCTACTACTTTGGTTATATCCCCGAGAATCATTGCATTACTATTATCGGAATCGAATGTAAAGGTCGCCGGCTGAATTGCAAAAATTGAAAATTCTTGCACGTTATAAATGGATATTTATAAGTTAAAAATTAGTATGTTTCTTTTGTATTTTTGTTTTTAAACGATAAAATAAACCCTTAAAAAAAGCACGGATCGAAAAGTTTTGAGCTTCGACGAGAAAAAAAAAGAAAAAAAACTTGTATTTCATATCTTTTATATTAAGATTATATTAATATATGCATCTCTATAATAATATATTTAAAATAATATTATTATTTACGTATTAAAAACGTATTAATAATAAAAAATTGAAGTATCGAAGAGAAAAAGAGTAACGATGACGTAATTACTAAATAAAAATATTTATACAAATGTAATATGATCCGTTGTGCAGATCGCGATGCAGTGGTCAAAATCGATCAATCGATCGTTGAAATCTGATTCGAAAATAAAATCGTAGGAAAAAAAGTCGTCAACAACATTATATTGAAAAACAAATAATCAATCGATCAGTATCGATTATTCATTCACGCTTAAAACATGTGTATCAAACAATATGCATATCTCATTGGGCCCTTCAAAAGTGATTCATCGTTGCCGGGTTCAGCAAACACGACGACCATGTTTATCGCACGTTGACACAGAGTACAATCTACGCATATGTATACACGTATACGTATATACTTTATCGCGAGTAAGCGACGACAATGTCAACGCGACTATGATCTTGGAGCCAGTCGTGTTTAGTATAATCATCCTTTATCGATTATCGAATAAAAATTTCAAGAACGATCTCGAACGGATCTAACGCGATCTACGGCAAATTTTCTATCGCTCGGGGTAGATTTGTTCAAAAATTAAAAACAGAAAAACACACTTAAGTTCAATGTAAAAAACAAACAAAACAATTTTTATCGGTACCTATGTGCATGAATATGATATATCAAAAAAAGAAGAAAAACTTTGACGAATAATTCGTTACTTTTTTAGACGTAACGTGAAATTTAGATAGACCGTGGCTAGAAAAAAAAAAACAAAAGAACAACAAAATGGGATCTAGAACGAACGTTCTTGAACCGTAAGAAATAAGATAAGTAATATCATCATTCATAAAGCCCTGAAGATAAGGGACGAAAAGAAATTAGAAATGTGATAAAAATAAGATAAAAATAATGAAGCGAGAGGTTCGTCACCTGTGTCATGAATCTATCAGCTCCGGTACCCTCCTCGTCTTTGAAAATGATGTCGGCGTTATAGTTTGGCACAAGATCACGAAATCTTGGGTCGTGTCTGGAAACACGTCCATCGCTGAGTCCACTTGCCGGTAGCGTGTTCTCGCTGACGTTGGGCACGTGCTGTTTGAAGACAAGAGGCGTGACCTTCTTGGGACCAAGACGTCTTCCGGCGCCTCTGCCGGGTCCGCAGGCGAGGACGGAAGCACCATTGTCAAGTGCAGGCATCCAAAGTACTAATATCAGGAGGAAAACGCGTAATACCGACGGTACGTGTCCACCTCGCCTCCCAAAGGCACAGCTACGGTGGCTGCTGGCCCTTAGGAGACCCCCATGACGATGATGATTATGATGGCACACCATAATTCGAGCGAACGAATCGCTCTAAGTTATCTCACCTCCCTCCCCTCCTTTTTTCGAACGACTATTTTATTTATATATCTATATATATATATGCGTTGGATATTTGCGTTATCCTTTTCGTTATCCTTTCCTCTTTTTTTCCTTTTCTATTTGTTTTCTATTTGTTTTCTTTTTCCTCTTCCTAGTCCACCTTCTTCTTTTCTTCTTTCTTTTTAAACTTGACCACCCCCTAATTTCACAACAACCACCACCTTCTTCTTCTTACTCCACCTCTTCCTCGACGAAGAAGGGTGTCAGACGTTCGTTCAAGAAACGAACGCTGGATCATCCACCACGATGACAAGGAAAACGGTTGTCCTCCTCTTTTCTTCTTCCCTCTCTCTCCACTTACCTCACCACTACTCACGCTTAACCATAACAAGGGCATCACCACAGCGACCCTGAAGAAAGCACTCTCTCTTGTTACCACTTTTTACCTATTGACATCTATACATAGATTCTCTCAATAAATGAGAACGAGAGAAACAGGGAAACAGAAAGAAGAAAGAGAGAGAGAAAAGGAGAAAGAAAAAGAAAAAGAGAGAAAGAGATAGGAAAAGAAACACTTGAATATAATCACTGTCGTAATAAACGTATATTGATCGATCGTTGTCACTCGTCCCTTTTTAAATTACCATAGTAAAAAAACACGACTATTACATCTTCACAATGATCGACATCGAATTAACGAATAATCACTACTCGATATCATTATATCCAATCGTCGAGGCACCTACGTATTTACATGTGTAATGCGATCGGGTCTCGTGAGGAAAAAAACTCGAAAAATTTAGTAGGCAAGGAGAAAAATGAAAACGAACCAAAATCCGGAGGAACCAAAAAAAAAAAAAGGAAACAACAACAACTTAGTCTTGCGATCAGACTACTCTGGCGGTCTCTCGAGACTGAAAGTCAGCCTCCGGAAGCGTGGACTCGCGTGTACCTCACGTTTTCCGGACGAGCCGGTGGTGGGAAATGCCGGCGATGGCTTTCGGTGGATACCCCCGACACTACTCTCTCTCTCTCTCTCTCTCTCTCTCTTTCTCTTTCTTTCTATCTATCTATCTATCTCTCTCCTTCTTGTTTGCTTGCTTCTATGGTATACTACGAACTCTAGACGGGGTAGGCCCCTCTTCCTGTCCCCACCGAAACGACTCGTAGAGTAGACGCCGGTAAGTCCCTTTCTCTCCCTCTCCCTCTCCCTCTCCTTCTTCTTCTTCTTCTTCTTCTTCTACTCCTTCTCTCTCTGTCTCGTTCTCTTTTTCTCTCTTTCTTTTTCTCTTTCTCTTTTCTTAGCGACCTACACTCGTACTATTACTGTTGGTGGTGGTGGATGATGCCGAAAGACTCCCACCACCACCACCACCACCACCACCACTCAAGAAACGGGCCCTCTCTCTCTCTGTTCCGATGGTAGGAGCCTTCAACGGACCCCTCGAGACTCCATTGGTCGGGGCGGAGCTTTCTCCAGGTAAACGAGGACAGGTGCCAGCTTCGTGATACGTTCGAGTAAGAGGGAGAGGGAGGATAGTGTGGAAAACGGAGGGATAAAAAGAGGAGGAAGGTTCTTCCCAAGGGAAAGAAAGAGTTCGGCTTATCTTCTCTACGTTTCTTCCCTTTCTCTCTCTTTCTCTCTTTCTCTCTCTCTCTCTCTCTCTCTCTCTCTCTCTCTCTCTCTTTGTCTCTCTTTCTCCCTCTTGTTTCTTCCCAGATTCTACTGCAGATCCCTCCTCCTTCGATCCACCTCCAAGTTCCTCTTCTTCTTCTTCTTCCTCTTCCTCTTCTTCTTCTTCCTCTTCTTCGTCCTGTTCCTCCCTTTTTTCTCTCCTCCTTACGAGTCCTTTCCTCGCTTAGAAGATACCTTTAGCCCCCCCACCTTCCCCCTTTTTCTTCATTTTATTTCTCTTTCAACTTACAATTTAGAAATCCTCAATGACTTTCTACCCTATGTCCACCCTCCCGAAGAATGTTAATAAAGTAACATAACGATAACCTCGATACGCTATATTTCATTCACGTGAAAATATAATAATGTCTATTATAAAAATCAATTTAATCGATCATTTAATATATAAAACGAATCGAAATGATACTTTTGTCAATAACTATTTTACTCTATTACTTATTTTCAAATATCGATCATTTACCCAACTGATCGAACTTTCCTCAAATTATTTTCTCATTCCTTTTCACGATCTGATATAATAAGTGTGTGCACGCGCCAAGCAAACCGAGAACCGACTGATACGAACGTCGAACTTCTACCCAATGAGAGCCAACGTTTACGGGGGCAAGAGGGTCTCCGAACAGCTCGGTTTACCGATAATAAACATCTTTTCTGAACGCACGGCACGTTTCTCTTTCTTTCTTTCTTTCTTTCTTTCTCTCTCTCTCTCTCTGTTTTCTTTTCTCTCTTTTTTCCCCTTTTTCTCTCTTTTTCTATTTCTCTTTCTTCTCCTCCTTCTTATTCTCTCATTCTATCGAAACGACTTCGAATTTACACGGCACATTTAGACGGATATTTCACGTGACTTCGAGGTACTTTATAATTACCGTTAAATATGCGGAAAACGTAATAAGTCCTTTAAATGTTTCTTTTCGAACGTTTAAAAAAAAAAAAAAGAACGTGTGTGTATATGTATGCATGTAAGTAAATTTTAAAACAGTTATATCTTTCTTCTCATAGACCGGTGCTTAAGATCAATACGAACGTTGATGACGAAAACGATGACGTTGTCAATTTGAAAAAAAGCTAAAGATTATTTTATCGTTTCTCTCTCTCTCTCTCTTTTCAATATTTTCATAAAACTATGATTTTGATCTAATCAAAAAAAATAATTCGCTCACTCTTATCTCGATAATAACGAAATATTAAATATAATATGTATATGTGTATATAATTTTAATCAATCGTCAACATTTTGTATGATTAAAAATAAATAAATGACTATGTCTTTTCTCTAAAGTAGTTAAAAGATTCTCATCTTCTCGCATTCCATTGATAAGCACGTAGTAAACAATCATATTAGATTTTTAATCGATTATTATCGGATGATTACGAAACTAATCTTCGTTAATCTATTCGAAGATAATATTGTATTCTCACGAGAAAATTATTTCTACTTTACACGCGCCGCATTACATAAAATAATATAAATAATATTTCTTTTACAGTCCTGATTATATATATACAGACTGATATTTAACAAAATTGCGTTAATTATTTTCAAAAGAATTCTGTTCTCGTGTGTATAGTAAGTATTGGAAAAAATTAAATAATACCTGTTGATCCAAATTATACATAAATATATCATATCAAACATTAATTAATCAAACGAACGATAAAAACAAAACGATCTCGATGGGATTTATTTATTTATCGGGAAAAACATTTTCCCCATCTCCTCGCAAAGAAAATCGTAGTGGAGGGGCTAATTACGATATAATATTAAATAAAAATTTAAAAAGAAGAAATAAAAGGTATGGAGAGATAATTAAATTCACTTTTTCTTAACTTTCCCTTTCTCTCTTCTCTCTCTCTCTCTCATGTTAAAAGACAAAACGATAATATAAGAAAAATAATGAAACAATGTGTGTGTGGTTAGGGTTAGAGTCGTCGTTGTTGTTCGAGATGGCAAAAGAGCGGTCTTCTCGATGTAGGAGAAGACTCCGAAGAATTACGAACCAATGAAAGTATAAATGGCGCTCGTTAGCGGGGGTCCGTCCGTTCTCGTCCGATACCAGAATCGCTGAAACTCGTCGGCAGTAAAAGGTAACGAGTATTCGCGAGCTGTAAACATTCACGAGAACGGGACGGAACAGAACAGAACAGAACAGAACGGAACGGGACGGTACGGGACGGCGTGCACGGCGGGCACTTTACTCCGGAACATTTCATAATCCTGTTACGAGGCACTTTCAAACTTTTGTGTGTGCCCCGGACCCGAGAGTGCGATTCCCGTTGCTGATGTTGCCGATCGAGAAAATAATAAAAATTCATCGCCGTGTTGCAAGTAACGGCGTAACTATAAGAAACGACGACGTTTCCAATCGGTGATCGTTCACCGTCATCGAACGTTGTTAAATATCTCATCGAGACACAACCTACGTGAAACAAAAAAAAAGAAAAGAATTAAAAAACGAATGGAGTAGGTACGAGAGACGAGACTATTCCAAAAACTCAAATTATGTCAACTTTCGTTTCGAATGGACGAACGCTTTCACGTCATTTGGAGAAATCCAATGGTTACTTATTTTTAAATATATCATTTTCTTTTTATCTATCAAATATTAAGATAACCAAATATCTGAATTAATCGTTATACTTTATAGATGACGTTAGAATAATACATTATTTATTAACATTTTTATATCTATTATGTGACATATATATAGCAACAATCGAAGAAATCATCGATTAGCAATGACTCGTCACAATAGGATTCCTCAGATCATCAGATTGTGTTTTTCGTTGAGTAGATCACGAGTAGGTTCGACGAGCTCTAGGTCTCTTTTTTCGAAGTAACACGATCCCAGAAGAAGAAGAAGAAGAAGAAGAAGGGAGGGAGGAAGAAGAGGAGGAGAAAAGGAATCTTTCGGAGGTCCAAAGAGAAAAGAAAAAATAGAGAGAGAGAGAGAGGGAGAGAGAATGTAACACCGAAGGATGCAGAGGTCCACCGAGAGAGTGGCCCTTTCGCGTAATGGACGGCTCAAATATTTATCATCGGCCGCGTAATTTAAGGTGCGTTTAGCAAACGGAAGACGACGCAAAGGGAAAACAAACAAGTGAGATGGTGGAGAAGGATGAGGATGAGGGAAGGGTAGAAGCGTATCTGAGGACACGTAGGATGAGAGATAACGAACGAACGAACGAATAAGAAGAGGAAGGAAGGAAGAGAAAGAGAAAAGAGCGAGAGGTAGCCGAGGGCGAGAGAGGTAGAAAGAGTAGCTCAAAGGGACCG